GTTTTTTAAATCTTTATGTAGAATGAATCATCATGTGCTATTAGATTTAGGCTATTCAAAAACAGTTTATTTAAAGGTTCACAAGCCTTTTCAACATTCTGACATAAACTATTTTTAGGGCATTTTCTGTATCCTTAGAGACTCTCATTTTACATGTGTGTACAATGTGTTTCTGACAAAAATATACACTAAGTGGCCACTTCCTTAAGTACACTTCCCCTTTTCTACACTGTCTTTCCATTTCATTACCTGCACTTACCATATATGTGCATTTTGTACTTCTATAATTACAGACTGTAGTCCATCTGTTTCTCCGCATACTTTGTTAGCCCCCTTTTACTCTGTTCATCAATGATCAGGACCCCCACAGGACATGATGCACAAGACCATTTACTATCAGCAGAATGTAGTTAAATGTGTCTGACATGAGAGTTCTTTCCTGTCTGTGTAGGTCGGTGGTCTGTCTGTAGATGTAGAAGAACATGAAGCCACATAATGTACATTAAGTGGAAACAGGGAGGGAGGTATCTGACATTAAACATTTAAAAAATGTTGGCATTAGTATAACCGTTAAAATGAAATCTTACCTGTTTAGAGGATAATACATCCGTTTTAGGGTTAGTTCAAAACGCACCCGATTTGAGGTTAGTACTACCGTTAATAGGAAGATGCACCTGTTTTGGGGATAATACACTCTTTTTGGGGTTAGTACAACCGTTGAAAAAAAAAAATGCACCTGTCTTAAAATGAAAGCGCACCCATTTGAGGATAATAAACCCGTTTTGGGCCTAGTACCTGTCTTAAAATGAAAGCGCACCCATTTGAGGATAATAAACTCGTTTTGGGCCTAGTACCTGTCTTAAAATGAAAGCGCACCCATTTGAGGATAATAAACCCATTTTGGGGTCAGTACAACCCATGCACCCATTTTCAGGAAATTGACCCATTTTGGGGTTAGTATAACAGTTAAGTGGACCTGATTTGGGGGTAGAACCATTATAAGGAAAATGCATTCGTTTTGGGGATAGTACAACGATTAAAATGAAAGCGCAGCCATTTTGAAGATAATGCACCCATTTTGGGGTTAGTACAGCTGTTAAAAATGAAAGTATACCCATTTTGGGGATAATACACCCTTTTTGGGGTTAGTGCAATCGTTTTGGTATTAGTACAACCGTTAAAATGAAATCTTACCTGTTTAGAGGATAATACATCCGTTTTAGGGTTAGTTCAAAACGCACCCTGATTTGAGGTTAGTACTACCGTTAAAAGGAAGATGCACCTTTTTTTGGGTTAGTACAACCGCTAAAAATTAAAGTACACCTGTTTTGAGTAACACACCTGTTTTGGGGTTTATGCAACCGTTAAAAAGATAATGCACCTGTTTTGGGGTTGGTATAATGATTAAGAGGAAAGTGCACCTGATTTGGGGGTAGTACAACCATTAAAAAGAAAATGCACCTGTTTTGAGGTTAGTACAACTGTTAAAAGGAAAGTGCACCTGTTTTGAGGATAACGCACTCATTTTGGGGTTAGTACAACCGTTAAAAGGAAAATGAACCCTTTTTGGGCATAGTACAACTGTTAAAATGAAAGCACACCAGTTTTCAGGATAATACACATGTCTTGGGGTTAGTACAACTGTTAAAAAGAAAACCCAACAGTTTTGGTGTTATCACAACTGTTAGAAAAACAATGCACCCCTTTTGATGAAATTTCACCCGTTTAGTGGAAAGTGCACTTTTTTAGGGGTAAATGCAGAGGTTTTGAATTGTACAGTACTGTACAAAACTGTCAATTCTTAAGATAGCATATGTCTGTGTTGTGATTGTCAATAGTGAAAAATATTTCCCTTTAAAAGTGAATGTTCAAAAGGCTGATATTTTGCATTGTTTAGTGCTGATGATAATTTTCATCAGTCTGAGCTTAAATTCCCACTAACACTCTGCACAACATCACAGCTACACAGTGAAGGCTAATATTTTCTGGCAGCAGCTTCTCAAAGATTAATGTAACATTCTGAAAAAGGAAAATCTCTGCACTGCAAAACAACAGCTGTGAAGTATGTTTACGAATACTTCAACTGTACCTTGACAATCAATAAAAAATAAAACAGTATTTTTATTATGAATAAATGTTTAGCTAATAATAACCAACAATTTATCTGCTAAGTGTCCTTTTCCTTCTTCTCCCTCCTGGTTAAGTGAATATGTTTGCTATCAATTTAAAAATGTAGTTCTGAAATTAAAGGGCACATATCCTAGATTTCTATGGCATTTTATCTTTGCCCTTGAGGTCCTCGTATGACATTTGTGTGGTTTTATGCATCAAAAAACAATTGTAACGCATTTTTAAACCTGTCTTTATCTCTCACAGTTAAATAGGCCGTTTTTGTTACTGTGTCTTTAAGACTGATATATGTAAATGAGCTCTGTTCTGATTGGTTGATCTGTATTGAGCCTCATTAAAAAGCAGTCCGGGCTGAAACACTACTTATAACTTTAGTGTGAATGGTCAGAGCTAAACTGCTCCAGGCTGAATAGGCAGTTATATGGAAATGGATTGTTTCTCCTGACATCACAGAAACACTGAACTCAGAATGGGCTATTTCTGCATAAATGGACTGGGAAGTGTCCAGTACATCGTATATACAGTTGTACTACTTTTGCCATCTTGTCTAATTTTTTAGTGCAGCCTTTTAGACCTGTAGCCTAATATGCAACACCTGTTTAGGTAACAGTTCACCCATTCAGAGAAAAGTGCACCCGTTTCGAACAAAACATGCACCCGTTTAGAGGATAGTACATCCATTTAGAAGAGAGTGTGCCCATTTAGAGGAAAGTGCACCTGTTTAAAAGAAAAAGTGCACCCATTTAGAGAACAGCGCACCTGTTTAGAGGAAAATATATCCATTTAGAAAAAAGTGCACCTGCTTAGAGAATGGTGCACAGAGAGAAACTTGTTCATGCATTTGTTACAAGCAGAGTTGATTACCGTTTCTCTGCAACCATGTAAGGCATAGTACACCCATTTAGAGGACAGCATAAACGTTAAAAGGAAAGTGCACCCATTCAGAGAATAGTACACCCATTTAGGGGAAAGTGTGCCTGTTTACAGCATAGTACAACCAGGTGAACAAGGTAAATGCACCCATTTAGAGGATAGTACACCCATTTAGGGGAACATGCACCCATTTTGTGTACAGGACACCCGTTTAGAGGACAATGCACCTGATTAAAGGATAGTACACCTATTTTGGGGTTTGTACAACCGTTAAAGGGAAAATGCATCTATTCTGAGGTTAGTACAATGGGTAAAATGAAAGTGCACCTGTTTTGAGGATAATACACCCTTTTTGGGGTTAGTACAACCGTTGAAAAGAAAATGCACCTGTTTTGGGTTAGTACAACCGTTAAGAAGAAAATGCACCTGTTTTGATGAAATTTCACCTGTTTAGTGGAAAGTGCACTTTTTTTTTAGGGGAAAATGCAGGAGTTTAGAAGGAAGAGCACACCTTTCGGGGAAAGTTCACCCATTTTGAGGACAGTACAACCATTTAGAGAATAGTGCACTCGTTTATGGAGGAAAGCTAAAATGCTGGTACATTATATTTTTTTTCAAAGAGCAGATCTCCATCTACAATAATGCTGTGAAAATCGACCCAGTTCCTACATCATTCTTTAAGATGCTTTTTGATTGTGGTCACAATGGTGTTTTAGATATTGTAATTTATTCTCTGTCCATAGATGTTTTTCCAGACACTTTTGAAACTGCTGTGGTGAAGCCTCTGCTAAAAAAAGTAGCATTGGTCATTCTGTACTAAATAATTCTAGTTAAGCCTGAAGAACAGCCCTAGAAAATGTTGTTTTCAAACAAATACATGCATATTTAATATCAAACAAGTTATATGAGAAATTTCAGATTTTCCTTCTAACCATGGCACTGAGACAGCATTGGTTCGCATTGTGAATGACCTCAGCCTCAGTGCTGATGCACAAAATCCTTCTTTAATTGTTTTATTAGATCTTAGTGCAACTTTTGATGCTGTTAAACACAAGATTATAAATTGTAATCCAACATCTTGAATGCTGGGTCGGCCTCTCAGGCCGAGTTTAGAATGGTATAAATCATATCTAAGTAATAGAGAGTTTAGGGTTTTAATGGGTAATGGTTCATAAAAATAATGTGCCATTTTTTGTGGAGTCCCTCTAGGTTCAGTTTTAGGGCCTTTGTTTTTGTCTTTGTACATGCTACCTCTAGGTCATGTCACTGGGAAACATAATAACAATTTTCATGGCTATGCTGATGATGCCCAGTTATACCTTTCCTCTCTTTCTGATAATCAAGACTCTGAGACAGACTGACCAGCTGTGATATTTCTCAGTGGATGTCAAAAATTTTCTAGGACGAAATCACAAAAAAATGCAAATACTGATCATTGGTACAAAAACTGAGAGAAAGTTGCTTTATGGGAAACTTGGTTCTTTAGCTTCATATACCAAACCTGAAGTAGGAAACAGGGGTGTGATCTTAGACTCTGAGCATTGTTTTGTCCTGCATGTAAACACAATCACTAAAATAATTTAATATCATTTGAGGAATACAGTTATAACATCAGTTCAATGTTTAAATACCTCACTCCGCATGCCAAGGCTGCAGTATTTGACGAGGCTATGAGTATTTCTTCCTTAGGTTTTCATTTAGCCCTTTCCTTAAGCTAACAATGATGTGAATGCAAGCTGTGTGAAAAATGACAAGGCGACTCGCCAAACTCCTCTGTAGAGAAGGTGTTCGCAGAACTAGCACACACAAACTAAAACCCTAAGAGCTTCAACATCTACTCGACTGAACATAAGGAAAAATGTTTTCTTTTAAAATGAAAAACCAAAGTAAGGAAAGTGAAGCTACTAGTTTCCCGCGCTAATTAAATGAAATTTCTGAGGAGTGAATTCTCCTCATTATTCATTTCTAAGGCCACATAAAACTACATTACACCCCTCTTGGTCTTCATGTTTTTTATTGATATGCAAAAGTTACAGAAGTTACAGTACAATCTATTCTAATCTATAACATTTATCACATATTATCTGAAAGTAAAGCTGAGACATTAAATGTAGGAAGATTATGTAATTGTTTCCAGACAGTATATTTACAATATTTCTGTTACTCCAATAAGAGATGAATCACTGAGAGAGAAGCAGCAGAGAGTTCAGATGAAGAGGATGGACGAGATCAGAGGAACCAGCATGATGAGGAGACTCAGCTTAACCCCCTCAGCACTGTTACACAGATCATGGTCACAGCACACACTGCCTGTTTTATCGCACTCAGTCTTGGTTGAACATCCCTTTTCAGTATGAGCCAGTACCATATATTTTGTTGCTGAGAGAGAGAGAGAGAGAGAGAGAGAGAGAGAGAGAGAGAGAGAGAGAGAGAGAGAGACAGTTTGCCATTCAAACCCATTACTACATTATTACTGTTTCATCTATATGATAGCCCACTTATGACTGCTGAGAAAATTTAAGGAAAATGCGAAGAAATTCTGTATATCTACTAGAAACAATATTCTTTGGTTTAGATTGTTTTTTTGAGCTCCCTGAGAAAAACCCATCTCTGTCAATGTATATCATAAAACAAAAATGACAATTGTTAAAAAATGGCCTGTAATGTGTTTTGGAATAAAACTATTCATATCATCATTAAGGACTCATTGTCTATTGATTCCCTGTTACAGTCAGGTGCTGCAGTCACACAAAATGGTGTAAAATAATTTTGTAACATTGTCATATTTATGCAATATTTTGGAAACATTTTAGCGTCTTTGAGCTTGTGAAAAGCGCTACATAAGTACAATGTATTATTATTATTATTATTATTATTATTATTATTAGTCCTTTTTCCTTTAAGAAAAAACACAAGTTTCATGTGAACACCTCACATTTTTTACATTTAAAAAGTGTTACCACATGTGAAAAAATGTGATCACTTGTCAAAATTTTATCACATCTGAAAACATATTCACATATGGAAAATGTATGATTACATCTGAACAGTGTTATCACATCTGGAATCTTGTGATCACATGCTGTTTCACGTGTAATCACACATTGTTCACAGGTGTTTCCTTGTAAGTGTTATGTTTTTAGACATTTCACATGTGAAATATATGTAATTTTCTGTAAGGGTGTTTTTCTCACTAATGTTTCCATCAGAATTTTTTATTACAGTACAGTTGTTGCTTTTGAAGATAATGGCTGTATTTTATGATGTTTCTGAAAAAAGTAACCTAAAGCTCATTGCAACATGACATTTAACATTTACTGTGTTAATAATATTGAATATTTACTGGCATTTTCTGATGAATTAAACACAGGCAGACATATGGGAATGTGAGCTCTTAAATTTGTTTAATTCAGAAATGATCCAATCTCTGCTTCAACTTAGTGTCACAGAATTTATTGTGACTCTGGGCAGACAAAGAGTCAGGCGAAGGAGTCCAGGGTCCAGGGTGACTGTAACTTGAGACAGTTCCCCTTCCTGTAGAGCAGGTTGTACAGACACACTCACATGTCACGGCGTGAGTCATTTGCCCATTTCTGCAAAGTGCTTGCCTGACCCTGATGGCCCCTGGTGAGCTGGTGCACTGTATGGAAATGGTGGCCAAGCTCCTCAGCATATTCCACTCTGGTAACGCTGTCTTCCTCTGACCCCAGTGGGCTCCGAAACCACATCAAGGCCGAACATAAGAAGAGCAGGACTAAGCTCAGATGATCCCAGGGGCAATCGAGGTGATGCTCATGAGTGATGATAGCCAACTGAGCAGCGAGCATTCATTAAAACGCTCCATGAGACCATTACTTTGAGGGTGGAGCGGTGTGGTCCAAGTCTTTCAGATACCCAGTTGGCTTCAAACCTCAGCCATGACCACCAACTCAAAGTTGCACCTCTGGTCACTGTGTCCTCTGTTATGGCAAAGCGGCACAAGAACCGCTCTACCAGCCACTCTGTCAGGACAGCATATGACAGCATATGCCGCAGCAGAGAGATTGTTGAGCCTGTGTTGATGAGTGCGGTGAGCTATTCTCCATTAATGCTGCATTCTATCGGAAGCCCACAGAGGCAGCTGCTCTCTCCATTAGAGGCAGCAATGCTAAGGATTACTCTCTCATGGAGCTGCCCATTCTTGTTTCCTGCTGGCATTCGTGTGTGCGATGTCCCTTTTTTCCATACTACCAACACACTATCCACTCCTATCTACAGCCACTTGCTCAGGGGGCGATTCACACGCCGCCCCCCTTTCAGGCTTTTCATTGCAGTGTTACTTGAGTGCTTTGAAGCCCTGTTGATGAGGATGAGCTTGGAGGCTTTAATGAGCCACATGTGCCACCGCAGCTCTTTGGATAGTGATGTGTTCAGAAAATACTCTAACACCAACTTCTTCTGAACCATTCTAGTGCTTAACTCTGTTTCCAACATACACTTGTCTACATCCTTTTTTTTCTCAGTTTGTCTGGAAGCAGCTTTCTGATGGACAGCACTGCCAGCATCTGCAGCCCACCGCTGGAAAGCCGTGGTCAGTGCTGCAAGGGATTGCCATGCTGCTCCACCAACAAGTCCACAAGAGTCTGGACTGCTTTCCCCCCATGGCCAAGCACAGCTGGATCGTAGTGTCCACCTCTCCCCAGCCACAAAGCTGAACAACCATCTGCAGCTGCATTGCATGCAGCTCCCACGGTCTTTCCTCAGTAATATGTGCTGGCTCTGCTCTACTAGCATGTATTACCAGAGAAAGACCATGGGATGTGTTTCAGTTTTTTTTCTTTTTCACCGGCTTGCTTGCCGCTTTTCTCATTGGCCGCTGCACTGCTCCTCTCGTCCTCTCCACTATCAGCTTCTCTTCCACTGGCTAATCTTCTTCTTCGCCTTCCGCCGTGGAATTGTTTCATCTGCTGCTCAAGCTCTTGTATTTCAGTGGCAAAATCCCTCTTCTGAGCACCAAAGTGATGCTGACCAGACCAAGAGTCAGGTGAAGCCATTTTCTCTGCTCCAAGCTTTTCTTTTTATTGAACACTAGTATAAATCAAACATGAACACTCCTCTCCCTAGGTAGAGGTCACCACCAACTAAAGGCTTCATGTCACCATTGACCCCACCCCCCCACAGATGCAAAACACCCACCAAACAATATCCCAGAAACAACATAACCCACACAACCACATAACTAATGAACTTTAAAATGAACAACATTATAGTCCTTTCGCTAGTGGCAGACCACCACAATATGTTTTCAGACATGCTTTAATATTGAAACTGTTTTGGAAATCTGATGCTATATTTTAAACCTGATCCCATGAAGAACTTGTAGGAATAACATTAGTCCTAGTGATTTCCTTTCGAAGTCATGCAAGTATAGACTTAAACTTCATTGCTCAAAAATTTTCCAAATTCAAATTGGCTACAACACAAAAAACAGCTGTGAGACTGTGAGTATGTGAGTGTGGCAGAGTCTAAGATGAGATTGAGCTTTATTTCTTACTGGTTTTGGTAAAGCATCGACCTTCAGGTGAAGGACAAGTGACAGGTTGATGAGCACATATCAGTCCCTCACACTTGTAACACTTCAGAGCTGTAGGAGCCAGTAAATCTACAAAGATAAGCAAACAAACAAAAACAAACAAACAAACAAAAAAAAATTACCCAACACACAACAATGAAATATATATAAAGTTACACTACAAATAAAATACACATGCACAATATTAGTAAAAGTTATAAGGTAAAACTAAAATTCCTGATGATGCAATATCATCTGTATAGACTGAGGTCACCATCCAGACGTGGCAACTTTACATTTATTTATTTATTTATTATTATTATTATTATTATTTTTTACAATCAGACTAAATGGCAATCTGAATATTACAAGACAATGTTTTAAAACTCTGTTCAAATGTTTTAAGACAACTGAGGAAATTTGGCATGCCAACCAAAATTCTCAGTAACTTCTACAGGTGTACAATCAAGAGTGTCCTTACTTTTATCACTGTTACACAGATCAGTGTCACAGCACGTTGCCTGTTCTCTATCTTCGTAACACTTAGCCTTGGTTGAACATCCTTGTAGCATATGTTGCCTGCCCATATAGTCCACTGACAAAGAGAGGGAGAGACAGAAGGGGTTAAGAAAGCCAAAGAAAGCAGAGCTGAAATCCATTTGCAGATATTCATTGAATATTGCCGCACTAAAAAAGCTGAATCGGAATTCACTTAATTCAAATGGAATAAAATATATTGACCTGTTGTTATAAAATATTTGTCTAATATATTCATGTTGAAGTGATGTACACATATACATCATGTAAATTTAATGCATCAATAGTGTACACACCATTTGTGTTTGAAACCTGATCTCATCAAGAACTTGTAGAAATAACTTCAGTTCTAGTGATTTCTCTTTGAAGTCACACAAATGTAGACTTTACTGCTCATAATATTTCACTCGAATTGGCTACAACAAACAGCTGTGATTGTGAATAGTGTGCTGTAGAGTCTTAGATGAGATTGAGCTTTATTTCTTACAGGTTGCAGAAAAGCAGCGATCTGCATACATTGGACACTCCACAGGTTTACGATCACAATTCATCCCCAAACACTTGTAACACTTCAGAGCTGTAGGAGGCTGTAAATCTACACAGACAAACAAACAAGCAAAAAAAAACAATGAACACATGGAAGGTAAAATGTTTCACACTTCGCTTTACCAACCACACTGAAATCAAATATAGATGAAGTTACAATACACAATAAAATACACATGCACGGCATACTGAAAACTGAGTGGAAAAAGTACTGAAAATCCCTACTCAAGAAAAACTACAGTAACAGTAAGTACAAGTAAAAGTATTAATTAAGTATTAAATAGTAAATTACTCAAGTAAGAGTAAATATGTTATTTATTGGAAAACTGCTTGAGTAACTGAGTTATTTTTTTTTTTTGTATCTCTAAATCCTTAATTTTAAAAGTCTATATAGAGTCAAAATAACAGGTAGGATAATGAATTAATAATATAACAGCAGCCCTACTGCCCACTGGCTGAAGAAATGATTCACATTCACAGATCCAGTGCTGATTATCCAGCGCTGGTATTTTGTATTTTTACTTTATTTGACAGTTAAACAGACTCAGATATAAATAAAGATGAACACAACCAGAGAGAGAGAGAGAGAGAGAGAGAGAGAGAGAGAGAGAGAGAGAGAGAGAAACCAGAGCTAAAATAAAAAATTCTGCTGATGTTGAGGTTACAGTCCAGATGTGGCAACTTTACATTTTGTTTTTTACAATGAGATTAAACGATAATCTGAATATTACAGGAGAACACTTTTATAACACTCTCACCTTTGTTACACAGATCAGTGTCACAGCATGTTGCCGTTCTCCCTGCTTGATCACAGTCATCCTTGGTTGCACATCCTTTCACTGTATATGGTGAACCCATCGTTCCAACTGAGAGAGAGAAAGAGAAAAAGAGAAAAAGAGAAAAGAAAGGAGGGGTAAAGAACGTTACAGAGCTGAAAACCATTCACAGACATTCATAGAACATTGAAACACTGAAAAAGCTGAATCTGAATTTACTCCATTCAGATGGAATCCTACATGAATAAAATACACTGACATGCCAAAAGTCATGGGACAGAAACTAGTATCATGCAGGCCACATCATTCTCTCCAGAACGCTCCTCAAACCTGGACAACTTGGACCCGATGGCACACTGCATTATCCTGGTGGAATATCCCATCGCTGTAGGGGTACGTGAAGTCCACACTAATGTTTCCCTTAGAAGTTTAATTACAGTATAGTTGTTGATATTTTGAAGATCGTGCCTGTATTTTATTGTGATATGTCTGAAACAAGTAGTATATTTTTAATAATTCTGATGATGCTGGTAAAATGCTAATATATTATTATGAAGCTGTTTCGGCATATTTTTATGGAGCTGTGTTAGTAATGAGTATTTACTGATGTTTTCCTGATGAATTACAAATAGGCAGATGTTTGGAGAAGTGAGCTCTTAAATTTGATTAATTCAGAGATGATTCAGCCTCTACTTCAGCTCAGTATCATACAATACGTTTTCAGACAGCTCAATATTGAAACTGTTTTGGAAAGTTGATGCTGCATTTTAAACCTGATCGCATCAAAAGAAATCAGCTCTAGTGATTTCCTTTTGATTTCATACAAATATAGATATAAGCTTTACTGCTCACAACTTTTCACATAAATGAGTTACAACAAACAAACAGCTGTGAGACTGTGAGTTGTGTGCTGTAGAGTCTTAGACGAGGTTGAGCTTTATTTCTTACCGTAGATGCAGCGATCTTTATATCTAGAACACACCACAGGTCTATGATAACATGTTGGCCCGTCACACTCGTAACACCTCAGAGCTGCAGAACCCTGTAAAGCTTCACAGATAAAAAACAAACAATGAAATGTGAATCTAAACAAATGAAATAGAAATAAGCACATGTTCTGCTAGCCTCTTCACAGGATCACAAACAGTGAAAAAAGTTAACCAAAAATAAAGTATTAAAAATAACATTTAGTTTTTATTCTGAAATTATTCACAGTGCTAAAATAAAATGAGCTCTTTAAAAGTGAATGTGCAAAAGGCTAATGATATTTTGCATCGTTTAGTACTGATAATGAGTTTTGGTTGTCTGAGGCTTACATTCCCACTAACACTCTGCACATTGCAACTATTTAATGTAGATTTAAAATAGAATAAATATAGTTGATATATAAGAAGATACAACAGTCTGAAAAAGAAAATTCTCTGCATTTAAACATATAGGCATACCATGTGATATTAAGTACTAGTACCTTCTGAAAAAAGCATGTAGACGAGCATCAGAGTGACCAGCATCTTCATTGTTGGTGAGTTAGAGAAGTTGAGAGTGTGATGGAGAGATGAGAGTGAACTTCATCTATATAGAGTTCTGAGAAGGTGTGGCTTTGAGGGTATTGTTCCTGTTTACAGCTCTCCACTGTTACAGCACCACCTGCCCCCTTTAGTCTCGTGGTTTTAAAGCCACAATTTTAAACATCTTTCATGAAAGAACATGCTGATACTTAGGGCATATGCTGTTGAAGTGATCCTGTAATGAAGCTTGGATCTTTTTTTTAAATAGAATACTTTGTTTAAGAATATATTTCTAACACATAGGAATAATAGCAGTTCTTTGGCTTTTTTTTCTCTGTCAGGCATGTGACATTGTCCTTGAGAAGGGTGCTGCCCATCTCCAAACTAGCCTAACAGACATTGTGACTGGCTGCACTGTAAACTTAGATTAGTTGACAATATTCTCCTTTTACAAGTCCTGCTAATGCTTGAATTACTTAGGTTAACTTGAATCAAATACTCTTCCTTGTGTAGCGTATTGGCATCAATTAAAACAAATCCATTACATTAAATCAACTGTTTTGTACAGTAACAAATAAATGGCTCAGATAAGACTAAAATCAGCCATTGCTGAGGACTCTAATAGTTTAATGCATGTTTGCCATTCTGTAGCATTCATGGTGATCGGCACAAAACCAGCATTGTGAGCAAACAAAAACATGTAGTACATCCAAACTTCACATTTAACATGAAAATATGCTATGACACAAAAATAACATTTTACAAAGAGAATTACATTTATAAATGACAAAAATAAGAAGTAATTAACAGAAACCAACAAAATCACTAAGAATGCTTTGAAGACATTTGAGCACAGGTCTGTAGGATTTACACAAATTAACTGATCTTAATTACATACATACATACATCATCTAAACCGCTTATCCTTCTGGGTCGCGGTGGGGTGCTGGAGCCTATCCCAGCTGTCATTGGGCGGAAGGCAGGATACACCCTGGACAGGTCGCCAGTCCATCGAAGGGCAGACAGACATACACAGTCACACACACACACTCACACCTAGGGGCAATTCAGCATGTCCAATCAGCCTGACTGCATGTTTTTGGACTGTGGGAGGAAACCGGAGTACCCGGAGGAAACCCACGCAGACACGGGGAGAACAGGCAAACTCCACACAGAAATGACCCTGGTCGCCCAGCCAGGAATCGAACCCAGGCCATTCTTGCTGTGAGCCATCAGCGCTACCCACTGCGCCACCGTGCCGCTGATCTTAATTAGATTTACCTAAAGATTAGACAAGGAATTGTATGTGTTAGAAGATTTGTATTGGTCATTTTAACAAATTAGTAAAGTAAATCCAGTTGTTATGTTTTACAGTTTGTGGTACAGGACTTGGAACTGGGTATTTCCATCATCATATAACCGAGAACCGCCAAGGCCTCGGGCCTGACTGAGAGTGACTTTTGCTGATGTCATTAAGAGGGGCACCGTTTTGCAATCACACAGGGTCATCAACGCTGAAAAACAAGATGTTAATTTGACACTGCCTCATGGCCTATGTGCATTAATGTCATCCAATGTTTTGATACGCCTTAATGACCAATCACAGAGATAATGATAGTATTGATTAAAATATAGCAAATCAGAAATGATGTATTCGACTAAGTTTGACGAACGTATAATTTGACCAAGTCTTTATTAGATGGGGAAGACAACTGCAGGTACTCTCACCCCCTCCTCCCTCTCTCCCTACTCGGAGTTTTAGTCTTTCTTTATTTTTATCCGTTCTTTAGTTTATGATTACTATCTATTTTACGTTTAAAATTCAATGTGTTTTCTTCTCTTTTTAGTTTTTGGGGTATATCGCATCACAGAAATTATGAATAGATGTTTTCATACTTTTCTATTTTTTTTTTTTAATTTCACTCATGCTGTGGTAAATTACCCAACACTGTTATCCAGAGTTATTTGCATTTTTGTCCTGTTATTTGCAGTTATTTATATGTCACAGAGGTAGACCAGTGTAGTGTTAGAGCAGAGAGAAAGTCTTTCCCAAAGACTTGTATAGTGTGACATGCTTGACCAGAATCCAGGGCTGCGACATGGAAGGAACAGTGTTTTCCCCTACACTATACCAACTACTACACTATACCAACCACACTACAATCAAATGTAGATGAAGTCCCACCACATCATTAAATACATTTACACAACATTAGCTGACAACATATGCTCTATATTCATTTTATTCTTGGCTGGAAGTATTTATCTTCTTTACATGTGAGTGGTGCTACTAGGATGCCATTATGCAATATCAATTGGTTAAGGAATCTGTAATAAATGACTTCAAAGCCACTTAATGGTAGAGCCGACTCTTGACAAATAGACAAAAGACAATAACACAAAGACAAGACGTGCACAGAGAGTAAATTCAGAGTATGTGCAAGGTCAGAGGCAGAGGTAGAATTTGAAGAGCAAACTATAGTAAGTAATACATATGTATATGTCTTGAGCGAATTAGCGCTCAGGTGTTTTATAAGTGTGCATTAATTGGAAGTGTACAGTATGTTAAGGTAAACTAGGTCAGGTGTGCAAAGATAGTAAGTATTTTCTAAAATACAAGTACAGCAAATATTGTAAACAGTGTTACGCAGCATCACAGTTGTTATGTTCATAAGGTGTACAGTGCAGCTAAATAAGCATTAGCAGCTTAACGCAAAGTATACAGTTTACAGCATAAATGTTCAAATATAGACAGATCAAGTTAAAAGTGCAATGTGTGTACAGTCCCATGAGCTAGTGGAGCTCAGTGTGATATGTTCAGAAGACTGGGAGGGTCAAGGATGGGTCAGTAACAGTTGTATTGTGTGTATTCATGTTCTGGTTGGTGTTGCTGAGTTCCCTATGTGAGCATAAAAGCATGGCACCGGCTAAAAAATAACAACACAATTTTAGTGGTACATGGAGGCAGGGGGGGTAGTGCTGTAAGCCTCCTTGATATTTGTGTAGACATGATCCAGCGTGTTTTCCCCTTGTGTCAAACAGGAGATGTGCTGATGGAACTTGGAGAGCACTGTTTTGAGATCAATCTGGTGGACATCCCTGATGATGAGTACAGCTTCTGGATGCCGAGACTGCTGCTTGCTAATAGCATTAGCTAGTGTAGTTACAGCCATGACAATAACCACAGTAAATTATCAAGGAAGGTAAAAGGGCCTACATCTTACCATCATGAGCAACATATCAAGAGAGCAGGAGCGTTCAACAACAGCTGAGCTGGTGCACCATTGGTTGTTCACAAACATACACAGTACACCGCCCTTTGTTTTAAGCGATTTGGTCAGGTGTTTTAAGTGATTTGGTCGCAGCTCCTGTAGTATGATAGCCCAATCTGGTAGGCTGCTATGAAGCCAGGTTTCAGTAAAAATAAAAACACAACAGTGCCTGGTTTGGAGATCTGTCATGAGCCTGAGTCTAGCTTCTGAGTTTATACTGCTTGTTTTGTTCATCTTTTTTTTCAAGTGATCAGACATTTGCAAGTCGTAGGTTTAGAAGTGGTATTCTGGTTAGCTTTGCTAGCCTTGCCTGTACACCAACTCACCTGACCCGCTTTTGCTTATGCTCACAAGCCCGTTGACAGCATCTTCCAGTCTGAGGCAAGACTGTAGTTGACTCTAGGCCTCTGGGGCAAACAATGGGCAGAATAAGATTGAAATCAGGGGCTGATGTTAAGTCCTTACACCGTATCCTGATGTCCAGTAATGTTTCCTGGTCTTAGACAATCATTGACTTGCACGTTCTGGGCAAACAGTATGTGAAACATACACAACACACGAATTATAGGCAAAACCTACATGTCAGTGGGAGAGGTAGCCCAGCTGTTGCCGTCTCCAGGTGCTGTTGGAAGTCTATGTATGTAACATCAGAACATGAGTCCAGTACTGATACACTGATACTAAGCTTATCACTAATGAAAATGTCCACTACTGAAGAAATTGGTCAGTTTGATCATCTCTCAAAAGAGCTCAGTAACACTGAATTAAATATATTATTCTTCATGTTGATTTATCATTGAACTCAGACTTTAGCAGGAGATTCAGTGTTTCTAAAGAAATAGTGGCAGCACTTAGGTGCCACTACGAGCCCAAAGGTGTATTACACACTTCTATAACCTGAGAATAGCTCAACAAGTTCCTGTAGTTAATGAATAATAAGACATAGTATGTAATAAGTCTTGGATTTTAAGAGATTAATAGTACAAACTTTGCACATACGTAGTACCGGTGAGTACAGAAGTACTTGCACAGACTTTAATTTGAAATAAGTAGTCTTTACAAAGCTGTTACACATTGAAAGTGTAACTTTATACATATTTACACAGCAAATGTTTCCCTCTTAGAACATTTTACGTAGTGTACACATTACCATAAAAGCTGTAGACCAGATCTAGGTTAAAAAACAATGATATAAAGTAAGTACTGTCTGTACTGTAGTGTGAAATATGGACAGATGAAGCAAAAACAACACACAGGCAAAAAGGCAAAAATAGAAATGTATTATACTAATACAGGTTAACCAGTGAAACAAGACTTTTGATAAAGAGAAAATCTACATAATATACAAGAATATAACAAATAATCAAACTTAATGTTGCCTTTTCAAAGTGTAACTTGGGGTTTTTGTATTCTGAAAACATTCTGAATACTTGTGTTCCGTTACCTGCAACATACATGCCATTAACATATTTTTCAAGTGAAAAAAACTTGATTGATTCAGCAGAGACTAACTTTTGAGACTTCTTAAGCTGTCTAAAACACAGTTTCTCATCTTTGCATGTGTTTTAAACACTGGAATGTTTTGAGCAGAGACAGTCTCCACAAAACCACATCCTCCCTCAATCTCTGAAATCTGCTAACAACGAAGCTGCTGTTTACACACTCGCCTGCATGTCTCACTCTAGTAAAATATCACAACACTATGAATACTGTGTTCTGTATACATAGATAAACCAAGTATTCTTACCATTATTAATAATATTAATA